CACACACACACACACACGGTGAAAAAACACAACTCAGTCCTTCTCCAAGACCTCCAACAGGGTTTGAGCCCAATCCCCCAATTACATCGGCTTTTTATCCACCTCATTCCGACCGCAGACAAATCATAATTAGGTCTGAAAGAGTCTATTAGGATTGTCATTTTTAACGGGGCTCTTGGGCGGGGGGGCATAATTACAAACCCTCCTTTCTCTGACTACCCTTCTTTTGTCCCCTTAACTGGAACTGAAACAATGAGGACTATTTAAATAGTCAATCAGGAGGGTTTTTAGCTGCCGTGGGGACATGTGGACGTGCTGACTTTGGGGCAAAGTGCCGCATGTATGGACAGGAAGTACTAGCACCATTTTTAAGGGAAGGTCAAAGAAATGAGACAAATCTAGGCTGTCTGGCAATGGAGAGGAAAGGTTATGTCCTACAGTTGAGCTCTGCCAAAACTGTACATCAGTCACTAGGGGAGAAACAGAGACTGACAGAGAGAGGATTAGGGATTACGTCTCCAGTTGACATTCCTTGATGTCAGCAAAACCATTAACCCCACAAACAGTGGCTCTGCTCTTGGAGGAGAACGCGGAACAAGTCAGTGTTGCACGACCAACTTCTGCACAAGAAAGTCATAACTCTACTCAAACAGTTTCCAGGCTTGAAATGAAATAGCAATCATACATTAGAGAGGGAGAGAAAAGTACCTTATCCCAGAGGGAAATTCAGTTGTCACAGAAGCAATGCACTTGACAGACACACACAAGTAGCTGTCGGACTTAAAATCCTATTCCCATGAGTGCAAATGTGCTTCTAGTTAAGCGAGATTCTCAAACAATAAAAATACCATCAAACAAAATCAAATCTAACCATCTAGCTACAAAGATAGAGGTCCAAAGCACGATTCTCGGGATTGGCAGTCTTTTCTTAAAAACCAGATGTGAAGTCCACATTTGTCTCACATGTGTAATCGCATACTAAGAATGTGAGGTCTTTGGTTCACTGGGTCAGGGCTGGCAGGTTATGTAAGCAGAGCAGAGAAACTGGCCTTGTTGAACCCGCGAGAGAGGCACCAGTACCCAGTACACGCAAAGGCCCAGGGGGCAATGAGGTAAATACAGCAGTGGTGGACACATACGCTGGCTTACACATGCACACACTCCTGGAAATTAGTCTTTTGCAAGAGACACATTTCCAAGAGTGTGTGTACAGACAGTTATTCATTTACTCCCAAATCTATTCTTATCTCCTTTATGTCAATGTGTATACTATGCGTATGTGTGTGCATGTGTGTATTTGTGCCTCATTGTGAACAAACTTGCACAAAACAAACAATTCCTCTTATTTATTGTTGAGTATTTTAAAGATGAATATTTACACAACAATCATTTCTGAAAGATTGTGCCATTTAGTGAAATAGTAGGTATCTCAACTTAAAAGGAAACCCTTGCACGACTTAGAATGCCAAGCTCTTCAATGCGAGTCTAATTTACTTCATCCTGCTGCTCTCAGTGCTGCCCCCACCCTGCCAGCAGCAGCATCACACCCTCTAGGTTTCCAGAGGCAGACAGAGCCAGAGGCAGACTGTCTGGCTACCACCCAAATGGCTTTCTCCATGGATATAAACAGCCCAACTACAGGCCTGGACCACACATAAACACCATTCTGAGAACACAGGCAAGGTCTGAGCACTCAGCTTGTGTGCGAGGGTGTGTGTGTTTGCAGGAGATGAGCAGTGAGATAAATACAGAATATAGGCCCTAGACAGTGTGGGTGGTGAGCATACATGGTGTGCATCCTTCTATACAGTAGACAGTAATCTTGTTTTTTCACTTCTCTGTCCGGTTACTCCCACGTTGCATCAGAATAATCAGGCACCCCTGCTCCCCCCCCCTAGAGGAATTAAAAATAACTTTTCCTCAGATACAGCAACAACACCGCCATCAGTGGAAATAAAAATCCCAGAAGAATAAGATATTGTCAATTACAAACTCTTATTGGATGCAAAGGCGCATGAGTAACAAGCTGACTGAGTTGTGATTTCACAATATGGAGTGACACAAGAGTCCTGCTTTCACAACATTTGTTTCTTTTTCTTGTAGCTAACTTTGCCACTTCAAATACTTCATGTTTTAACTGCTTTTATGCAGCTGTCAGAATGAGCGATGGATAAGAAGCCTTTGGGGTGGATGTGTAATGTTTACCAGATAAGGAAAGCAAACACTGCAGTGGGTGTGCGGGGGTGTGTGTTTACACATTATGAACGTTTGACCCGGGACGAATCCCAGAAATCACCACTGATAGGGTTTTAGGGTAGAAATGTCGCTAAATGCCCCTTTAAACTTCAAAAAATGAGTCAAAATCAAATTGAAAAAAGGAGAGAATTAGGGAGATCATGGATTTTGAGATTTCCATAATATAGCTAGAGATCCCGTCAGAGGCATTTGGGTAGCAGGCATGAAGCAGCCTAATGTGTGTGGTGGTCACATCACCAGAGACACGTATCAGGATCTTAAAAGGGGATTGGGGGTTTCAGACGATATCAAAGACTTGAGTCCCTTTGAAAAGATTAACCAGGCTAACACGGTCGTACTCGTGGGTTGTGTCACGTCATATACCCTGGATGCTGCACATGTGCAGATACACACACACACACACTTACACTTGATGGCAGGGCACACAGGAGATAAGCAGAACGGGCAACATCAGTGGTGAGCATGGATTTGCACTCACGCACACGCCTGAACAGAGACGCACAACCTCAAGGGCTCTGCTGACATTCTCCCATGTCCCTCTCTTGGTAAGGGTCCCCGCATATGGGTCACATGAGAGGCCAAGGGGGAAAACAGAGCAGAAGAAGCCCCTGCACAGGAAAATGTCAACCTCGCAGCACGGATAGTAGACGCACACACACACAGCTAAACTGGGTCTATAAATACAACGGTAAAGCAGGGAGCGGCAGAGTGGAAAAAGCCCAGTGGAAAACCATTCAATCGTTAGCTTAGCAGCCTAGCTCTAAAATTAGCCTTAGTAGAGCAGTGGAGTACAGCAGACACACACAC